AATTCATTCAAAGTAGGTGAGATGAGAACGCGTTTCATTTTAAAAAGCCTTTTTTTAGAGAATACCATTTAGAAACATTTAAATGCAACAAAACTTGGTTTAATAAGTTCTACAACCGAAACAAATTTTTAACCATTTAAACTCAAAAACAAATGAATTTATAATTTTTCCTAATAAATTAATTTTTAATAAAAAATTTGTTAAAAATATCAAGAAATAATTTGATTTCAATGTACGTTATAATTTAATTCAGAGAAATTTGTGTCTTTTTAGCAAATTTAAAATCGAATTAATCAAAAATTTTTTTTCTACTATTTCGCTGTTTAATAAATAAGTGTAAACACTTAAAACTATATTCTCAAATATTACTCACTCTGATAAATTACATGTGAAGTATATAGATGGAACTTCTATATATTTACACTATTCAAATTAAAAACATTTTTGCAATAAACTCAAAATTACGGCTACACTTAAGCCTTTTTATTTATTAAAAATAAATTTTTTGTAAGTTAAGTTTTTGACAATTAGATGTAAATACCATAAAAATTGTAAAAGTACACAATTAACAAATAACTAAGAACTATGAAGAGAATAATATTTAGATATATTGCAATGTCGTATCTATGTTTGCAAATGTAATTAGAAGATAAATATGAACAAACACATATAACAAATTTTAGGATAATTTAAATAAAGTTAAAATTAAGTTAAGTAAAGATAAAATAATAACAATAATGTATTTCCTATAGTTTATTTTATATATAATTTTATTTTTATGATTTTGTAACAATTTAATACAATTGAATTTAACTCTAAATATTTTGTCACGCTTGCTATTCGTTTTCATGTCTTATTTTATTTATAAAACCATACTTAAGCAGTTTCTTGTTAATGGACATTTTTAGAATTTTGGAAGTTACAACAATAATAAATGTTTTGATTTATGAAATTAAATATTGTATTAGATGAATTTATTACATTGTTTTTTATTTGTTAATATATCAAATAATTCCATATATATTATACATAATCACAACATACACAATATACGCATAAATAGATATAGAAATTATAAACATTATTTCTCTTAATTTTTGTTTTTTAAATTCCTATTTGTGTCAGACATAATTATTTAAATAAAATATTTAATCTGCCATGTTTTGTAATCTCCGTGTAAATATAAGTCGTTTTGTCTTAAAGAAATATTTAGAATATTATGTTTATGAATGCAACTCTGAATTAATATTCTCTTTCATAATTTTTCTCTCCGAACACCGCAGTTGGGGCAAGAAAATTTAAAAACATTGACTGCAGTGAATATTTTTATATTAATAAAATAATTAATAAAACCTGAGAAACAATTTTTGTAAAATAAAATGCTGCCCCCACATCAGCTCTTGCGCTATGCAAAACTACCAGTGGTTAAGAATTTACAAGTGAAGGTAAAAAATTGTAAGGCGAAGTAATGACATAACCTGCAATGAAATTCATATGTGAAATAAAATTCTAAAATAATATGTACTTTTCAGTTAATTGCTCCCGCATTAACAATAAATAGACGTGATTTACATATATCAACAGTAACACGCAAAGTAACACCGCTAAAATCTAACCTACAAACACCATTGGCCGGCATTGGACAATTGAGTTTATTGCGATATGCCAGCAATGCTCCAGTGACCGCAAATATCCCACCTAGCACAAACGTCATGACTGAGGCAACATCAGCTGCAGCTGACAAAACTGTTGTAGATCTAACAAGTTTACCAGAAGCACCGATTGCACCGACTGAAGAATTGGTAACAACAGTTCTCAATGCTGCAGGTGAACCTACGTTTGCATCAATTGGTTTAGGTGGATGGTCACCAGTTGGATTGGTACAAAACTGTATGGAATGGTTACACATAAGTTGTGATATACCATGGTGGGGTGCTATAGCTATAGGTACTGTTGTAGTGCGTACCGTGCTCTTCCCTCTGGTTATAATGGCACAACGAAATGGCGCAAAAATGAACAATAACATGCCACAAATGCAAGTGCTGCAGATGAAAATGTCAGAGGCACGTCAAACTGGTAATGCCATAGATGCAGCACGTTATGCACAAGAAATGATGCTTTTTATGAAAGAAAAAGAATTAAATCCATTGAAGAATTTATTCGTGCCGTTGGCGCAAGCACCTATTTTCATATCATTCTTTATGGGACTTCGTGGCATGGCGAATACTCCAGTAGAGTCATTGCGGGATGGTGGTCTGTTTTGGTTTACAGATTTAACAATAGCTGATCCTACTTTTATGCTGCCAATAATCACAAGCGCAACACTCTATTTAACCATTGAAGTTGGTACTGACAGTGCACGACTATCAGCGGCCAATATGGGTATGATGAAGTATGTATTACGTGCATTGCCCATTGCGATATTTCCATTCACTATGAATTTCCCTGCGGCAATCTTGACATATTGGGCATGTAGTAATTTTATATCACTGGGTCAAGTGGCTTTACTTAAAATACCACAAGTGCGTGATTATTTCAAAATTGATAAAATGATGATACATGCTCCTGGATCGCTACCAGCTAAGAGCAAGGGATTCGTAGGTGGTGTTAAGGAATGTAAGTTGTAAAATAAAATTCAAATTGTTTTACTTTTTACTTAATATTTTTTTATTTTTAGCTTGGCAAAATATGAAAATATCCAAGGAATTAGAAGAACGTCAGCAATTAAACGAAATACGTTTTGCAAAAGCGGGTAAAGGTCCACTAATCAAAACGTATAAATACGATCCAACGAAACCACAACCTACTGCTGTCCAAGCGAAACCAAAAGATGTTTAAAGGCTTATGTGTATTTATAGTTTTTATTTGATAATTTTAAATGTAAATTAGATAGAAACGGTTAAGAAGAATAAAGGAATTTTTTATTTCAATTGTTGACGATAAAACTATATTGTTTATTATTGTAGTTATAACTAAAATATTGTTTCTCACATTTTTCAACTCTTATGCCTTCATTGATATGCACTGATTGATCACTTCGGTAAGATGCTTGTTTTCTAGTGCCGCTGCTACACGTTCCTTGTCTGCCAACTGCTTGTTGACGGCTTGCTCGGAGGCATGTGTACCTGGTGTTATCTCTACAGTTACCTTAAATCTTGCAGGCAATGATCGGAGGAGTTTAACGCGTATGGACAAACCAATTAATGTAGCCATGGAGCAATGTGGTATGGTTGGTGTAAAATTTACATGCACTTCATTATTTTTATCTTGTACGTTTATTAAATCCTCTTGTACGACATGTAATTGTTCCAATGTCAATGGATGTTCTGGATCATTAATGTTGCGTATAAGATCTGGAATGTTAGTAAAAGTTTGTATTTAATTTTTCAAGTAGTTGCAAATTTTTTTTACTTACCAAATATTTCACGTGCATCGAATGGATCAACAACATTTTCATCTTCCTCATTTTCTGTAATTATGCGTTCTTTGCATTTTCCATATACATTGGGATTAATATTTTCTATTTCCGTCGGCATATTTTGCGCTATTATGAAATAACTTCTGCTTCAATGTACTGAATTTTGTCAAGTATTTATAATTTTTTGTTTAATGAATAAAAACAGCTGACTTTGGACACTGTCAAAACACTACAATGACTTTCAAACAGTTCGAAGTCTACAGTTGACAGCTGGCAGAGTTTACAACTATCTATAACAGACAAATCATTTTTAATATATGTAGAATAATAAAAAAAGTTTTATTTACTTTTTGTATTCAAAAAATTACTGTAATTAATATAACATTTGTAAATAAAAGTAGAACAGTTAGAAAAGTTAGAACAATAATTGTCACGTTTAAATTTTTGCAATTTTTATAAAATAGTAATATATGTTCAACAGAATTAAGCTGTAGTTACTGCCATTTGTGACATTTTCTTGAACATTTTTTATATGCCACAGATAAGTTATTGCAATCAGTGTACAGGATTGATAGTTGAAAACGTTTTAATTGATAACAGCTTCTTTAAGTGTTTATTAACTAAGAAAAAAATATGATTGCTGCTTTTCAATGCTGAGTTTAAATTATTTACATTACACAGCAGTTCGGACTATTTAGTCAAAGTGTTTCTACAGATTTTAATAATATTATACACTTCACTTAAGAAAGTACTTACTGATAGCTTCAATTGAAACATCTAATTTTGAAAAAGTTCAATATTCTGGACACAGGTTTGTGCAAGTTTTTATTAGTGTGATCACTATAAAAACGTAAAAACCTTGAACATAGATATCTTAAAAAGTTAGATAAATTGATATAGTACGTAGTGTAAAAACCTGGTCAAAATAGCCGACTATATTAAAATCTATAGTCAAATCAACGTTCTTAGGAAACCGTGGCAAAGTCTCATTAAAATTTTATGTATTTTTATCATATTAATTCTCGAAAATTAATTGGAATTAAAATCTATCTTTTTTCGGTAAAACTATCTATGGCAGACCATTAGTCACTGACAAATTTTGCTCGACAAATTAAAAGGATAAGGAAAGTCTAAGATTGTGGTTACATTGCACGCGAATTTTGTATTGCGTATCCATATGTTTTCTCGTGCGAACATATTTCATTTGGAGGTTACTCTGCTTGCGAAACATTTTCCACGAATAAATATTAGTATGAGAGAGAAATCACTCTGTAACCATTCGCATATGATTAGATTAATTTGATTTGTTCGTACTTGTAAAATTTTTTCAATTCGAAAAAACTAGTGTTGATTATTTGTTCAACTCACTTACATTAAAAAGTAAACGATAAGAATTGAAAAATAGTGTTCAAATGTTTAGTAAAACTGAAATGTTTAATATATAATTAGGTCTGTTCCATGAGCTACTCGTAGTAATTTAGAGTAACACTGTGTATACACAAATGCGTTCCACCAGCAAATTTTCGAGTAAATGAGACCATTTGAGAGAGCGTAAAATCCCTGTTGAAATTTGAAAATGCTAGACAGACTTTACTCATACATTTTATTTCAAGTAAAATTTATGTTGATATGTACATCAGCTGTTTTGGTTTGAATTTAAATTTTTGTATTGTTTATTTACGCAGCACTGGTGTTCTCACCAGATTTTATACAAAGCCGTTCCATGTAAAGAGTGTTATTTAGCACTTTATTTGTGTTACGGTCTCAGTTTGTACTTTACTTATGGTTTACTCGAGTTTTACTACGAGTAGCTGGTGGAACAGACTTATTATTTCAGCAAGTATATTCTAATGACTTACTCTTTCTTTTGTTGCTGCTTCAAAATTGTTGTGGTTAGTTTTAAAATGAATATTTATTTATATTATTTGTATCCAATGGTAAATTTAGGAATTAATTTTTTTTTCAAAATTATTTGTGTAGAATCTTTTAAACGAAAATGGTGATCGATGAACATTTGATCGCCTACATAACACGGCCGTCATTAAAATTGATAAAAATTTCACAATCTAATTTATTTTGTTAATGATTTTTAAAAGTAATTATGTTTTATGATTACATTTGCTTATATATATTATTATATACATTTAATAATTTGAAAAATAAACGTATTATAAAGTTTGTTTAAAAAATGTTTAACACAGCGGCTAACATACTTGTGGAACTTGTGTGTATTCTGTGTATTGCATCTCGTTCAACGAAATTTAGAATTAAGTGTTCAGTGTGATTTTAACTCGATTGTTGTATGGTGTCGGAGTGCCGCTGTAATAGGGAAAAAGTGTTTTTATATATTTTAAATATATTAAAATTGATGCATAAAATCTAAAAAAATAATAATGATTTAAATAAAAAAATAATATTTTAATAACTAAAAAAAAATGTTTACTCTATGAATATAAAAATTTTTTTTTCAAGTTGAAAAGAAAAAACGGTTCTTGTTGAAGTAAAATTGAAAGTGCCGCTATGTTAATACAATAAGAAAATAGCAACAATAAAATGTGTACAGCAAAACTTGTTTTTATAACAATGAATTAATTTAAAGTGGCAAAATTTCTATTTCAAAATAAACAAGAAAAGCATAAATTAAAATTTTTCATGAGACATTCTGAAAACAGTAGCAAGCAGTGTTAGCATCTCGGCATCGCATCCTGCTTTTTATGACCTTTTTCCCTACGTTATTATTCGTTTTTCATTTATTTGCCTTTGCGTTCGTTTTTCGTGCTCCACCCTCAGCGTCCGTCCTTGCAAGGAATAATAATATTGTACAAGAACACAAATTGGAGCAGCAGGGAAAGCAACAAATTTAAATTAACGTACATCGCTGGCGTCTTTGATTATCATTTCACACACGCACATACACACACACACATGCGACAAACTTACAAGTTGCTTGGCATCACACGTACAATGTTTTCCAGTTTGGTTTTATGCAGCGGCATTTTAACCTCTTAACGCGTTGCCCGGTTGTTTGTGTTTTGTGTTTTTAAAAGTGAAAATCTCTTCTTGTTTGTGTCTTACGGAATTTTTAGTATAAAATTGCTACAAACATATGATTTGATTTTGTCGGCGCGGCGTAAACGTCAGAAGAGAAGAGTGCAAAAGGCTTAATCGCTATCCTCGGTTAAAATTCTTGCTCTGTTTTTTTTTTGTTTTGCATTGCACGAACTTCTACAACGTATGTGTGCGTACTTGTGTTTTGGTTACCTGTTAATAGCAAATTACCCCAGCTACAAAATTGTTAACACGAAAATGACAACAAAATCATTGAGCGAATAAGAAACTTTCGATTAAGAAACAAACATGCCATGCCGCACACACAAGGGCAAAGGCAAAGGCAAATAAGAGGCGCATTGTGAAGGAAGGTAGGTAAGTGCATGTAAACTGAGAAGAACGAAGAGTGATGATTCTTCTATTGAAAATCATTAATTATTTTAACTTAATTTTCAATAATTGGATTTAAGTGTTGAAAGAGCATTTTTCTTATGCTATGAATATTAAATAAATTAACTTTAGTCTTTGGAGTGTTTGTGTGTGTGTGATCATGCAAATGTAATAGAATGAGGCTAGCTATTCTATGTTTACATTTGCAGAAAAGTTGGAAATTTAAGTGGGAGTTATTGGAAAATTTTCAAGCAAAATATACAATTAAATTAGTCTCTCTGAAATATATTCTTGCAATGTGCAATATTTATATTTATTATATTTAATATTTAATATAATGTAAATAAATTATAATATATAAG